CAACCCTAGTTGTGCCACCCTCAGTCCAAGGACCCCCTGGTGCCCTGCGGTCCTTCCCTCCTCCCCGCCGGTGAGCCGTTCTCCCTCCTGGCACCACAAGTCTAGCTGGCCTCACGCAGGCTGCAGGCAGCGCCTCACCGGGCCGTAGGTCCAGCCTTGCTCAATGCGGGTCAGTGCCCAGAGCTCGTGGATGTTCTCCGCCAGCTTCTCCCGAATGCGCTCCAGATGGGGTGGCAGGACGATCTAAGGGCACAGGGACGTTCTTGAGATCCCCAAGGTCCCTCTACCCTCCTCCATCATGACCTCTCTTCCCAAGGACACCTGTGAGCCCTGGAAGGCTCGTCTAGCACCCCCTTTCCCGCCGTCCCGCAGCCCTGCTCCCCATCCCTCGCCTTGATTCCAGGGTTGACACTCAGATGGGTGAGGGCTTAGCATCCTCAGAATTAAGGAATTATCCGGGGCCAGCCGTGGTGGCTCACGTCTGTAATCCAAGCACTTTGGGAGGCTAAGGTGGAGGCAGATTGCCTGAGGTCAGGAGTTCAAGACCAGTCTGGGCAACATGGTGAAACCCCTTCTCTTCTAAAAATACAAATCTAAACAATTTTTTACTATTTAAAAATTGAAACAATTTTTCAAAAGGAGTGAGAGCGGTGGGGAAGTGCCCTAGAAGCTGGGAACCTCGTTGTTTAACAGATGGAGAAACGGAGCACAGAGAGGCAAAGGATTCTGTCAGGGCAGAATCGCCGTCTCAGGGAGTCCTCACAACTGCCCCTCAAAGAAAAGGTGGCTCACACCTGTGATCCCAGAACTTTGAGAGGCCGAAGCAGGAGGATTGCTTGAGTCCAGGAGTTTGAGACCAGCCTAGGCAACATAGTGAGACCCCGTCTCTACTAAAAATTAAAAGTTAGCTGAGGTGATGACCCACGACTGTAGTCCCAGCTACTTGGGAGGCTGAGATGGGAGGGTCTCTTGAGCCCGGGGATTCAAGGCTGCAGTGAGGCATGTAGGGACATGCTTGGAGGGAAAGTGGGCCATGAGGGGCCTGGGATAGAAGATATGCCCAAAAAAATCATAGTGGATAGGACCACAGGCTTCAGAATCGGACCGCCTGGGTTCAGATCTGCTGTGTGAATTGCATAGATTACTTAGTGTTTCTGGGCTTTGCTTTCCTCAACTGTAATTTGGGGGCAATAACAGTCCTTTCTTTCTTTCTTTTTTTGAGCAGAGTCTTGCTCTGTTGCCCAGGCTGGAGTGCAAAGGTGCAATCTCGGCTCACTGCAACCTCCACCTCCCGGGTTCAAGTGATTTTCCTGCCTCAGCCTCCTGAATAGCTGAGATTACAGGTGCACGCCACCACGCCTGGCTCATTTTTGTATTTTCAGTAGAGATGAGGTTTCACCATGTTGGCCAGGCTGGTCTTGAACTCCTGACTTCAGGTGATCTGCCCACCTCAGCCTCCCAAAATGCTGGGATTACAGGCATGAGTCAACACACCCAGCCTCTCTCTCTTTCTTTCTTTCTTTCTCTTTCTTTGTCTCTCTCTCTTTCTTTCTTTCTTTCTCTTTGTCTCTCTCTTCTTTCTTTTTCTTTTCTTTCTTTCTTTCTTTCTTTCTTTCTTTCCTTCTTTCTTTCTTTCTTTCTCTTTCTTTCTTGCTTTCTCTTTCTTTCTCTCTCTCTCTCTCTTTCTCTCTTCCTTCCTTCCTTTTTTTTTTTCAGGGTTATGCTCTGTTACCCAGGCTGGAGTGCAGTGGTACAGTCATAGCTCACTGCCTCACTGCAGCTTCGAATCCCCAGGCTCAAGAGACCCTCCCATCTCAGCCTCCCAAGTAGCTGGGACTACAGTCGTGGGTCATCACCTCAGCTAACTTTTAATTTTTAGTAGAGACGGGGTCTCACTATGTTGCCTAGGCTGGTCCCAAACTCCTGGACTCAAGCGATCCTCCTGTCTCG